GGGAGTTTATCAGTATGTGTCTCCTACAATGTACTTTTGAGTATTTTTTATGCAGAAAGGGGAGGGCGCATGTTGCTAACGGGGTCGCTTGATAATGATTTAGCTGAAGGATCGATCCTGGACGACCTCATCAAGAAGAGCATCCCCTTACCCCCCGCCGAGCGCTCGGCCCTGCTCGAGAAGACGCCCGCGCTGGCCGACGCGCACAAGGCCGCTGCGACGGAAGGGGACACGCCCGCGCCGGACGCCCAAGACGACGTCGATCTGCACTATGTGTGCTTTGTCAAGGGGAAGGACGGCGGGCTGTGGGAGCTTGACGGACGGAGGAAGGGGCCGATTCGGAGGGGCGATCTGGATAAGGACGAGGATGTGCTGAGCGAGAAGGGGTTGAGCTTGGGGCCGTTGAAGTTTTTGGAGAGGGAGGGTGGGGATTTGCGGTTCAGTGCTGTTGCGCTGGCTGGGACGCTGGATTAACTTGTAGCGGGGTTTCTGCTGCTTGGTGTCTTGAGTATAGCATCTGTCGTAAACGAACCTACACACACATCCTGCTGCGGTGCCTGCTGCTCTTGCGAGGTACTATTCTTTCCAAGTGGTAAGTCAATACGGGCACGACAATCTTTGGGGTTCGTGGGATATGCATAGTGCGTCCCGCGAGCTGGATTATGAGGGGGGATAGGTGGAGGAGGAATAGATGTTGATGAAGTGTCTTGTTCTGCTTCTTCTGGGATGGGGGTACCGAGGCCGAATTGTCTGCGAAGATGCATGTACGCCTGCTTTTCACGGGCTTGAACTGTTTTGAGCTCTTTGTCTAGATATGTGCTTGACATGGTTCTTTCTAAACCATGGGGAACATGGAAGGGTTTTGGCGCGTGGGAAAGCTTTTTGTTGTTGTTGCTTTTTTTACTTTGAGGGTGGGTATTTATAGGGTTGAGGGGGGGGTTTTGTGCAGGAAGACGTTCATATTCATTACTGCGGACCATACTTGAATCACTGTGAGAATGGTATACAAAGAAAGGCAATTCCATCTTGGTTTGGAGTGTTTGAAGTAGAGCTGCAGATGAAGGTATCGTGATGAGCTGCCCGAAATCAACCAGGGGGGAGGCAAAGCCAGCGAATATAGGTTATACGAACGGTCTCTCGTGCAGCAACGATTCAACTCGCCGCTACGTTTCTTTTACCAACTTACAATCAATAGAAGACCTGTATCTTTTCCATTCCTCACCACATTGAATCGTTGTCGATGCTTTTCGGGGTTGTGATATTCATTGCTCCCAAATCTCCGAAAGCCAATTCAAAGTATTGCCGTTTTAGGATCGGAATCGATCCGAGGAATTTGATTTTTTTTTTTTTTTTTAATAATTTTAGCGGGAGATCTGTTCCGGCAAATCGCCAAGACAAAAAGAATGGCGTAAGAAGCAAAAGCTCTGCCCTACAGAGGACTGACGTCACACTTCAGTCTCCATCGCCCAAAGACCCCATTCAGCGAACTTTGAACAATAACCACCGAAAAAGAAGCAACGATGTTTTGAATGTCCGTCATGGTACCAATTGCAACGTACCTTACCGTAAGAATGCTCCGTACAAAAGTGGGTTCCTCCCTTACTAACCAAGGCATACGGGGGAATAAATGATGCAAATAGCGGACCCCGGTAACGGAACCTTAAAAATAAACCGTTTGAAACTGACTGATCTTCTTTTCCCCACAGCGATAGCATCATTCTTACGACGAAGACTCCAGACCTTACTCGCAACCGGCAGATGACGTCAGAGACACTACGACTTTGAACAACGAAACAACGTCGGCACTGTGAATGAGCAAAGGGGTATAAGAAAGTGTATTTCCTCCCGGCCAATTGATGAGATTCATTCTATCATACCAACATCCCTCGACAACTCTCAAAACAACAACACAAACAACAATCACCACCATCACCACCACAACCTCAACAACCAACTAAAACAACCCGAATCCTCTCCAAAATGAAGTTCTCTATCGTCCTCTCCCTCCTCCCCCTGGCCCTCGCCGCCCCCAACCCCGCCGCCGACATTGGCGCCGCCGCCCCCAAGGAAGACGTAAGTTTTTCCTACCACACCAACTTTCTTGCTTTCCTTCAAATTCATGGGAAGGAGTTTCATATAATGGGCCAATCGGCAATATGCTAACAGAGTTCCCCCTTTGCAGAAGTCAAAAAACAAGGTCGCCGACCTGCCCGAGGGTCTGCAAGAGCACGGCAAGGGCATCCCCGGCATGAACGCCAGCGGAGGACAGAGCCAGGGCATCAAGCAGGGTCCCGACGTCGGCCAGGGCGGTCGCTCAACCAAGAACTAAAGAAAGTCGGAACGGAAACGGGGTTTTAGAGAGGGAAAGCTGTAATATTAAGATATCATGGTTCTTTTTTTCATGTACAACAGAATGAATTGACGAACACACATCAAGGGAATGGAAATGGAATAAACATTCAAATCCATTATGGTGCCTTATCCATGAATTGACCATTGTAACTTTCATCATGATGCCTCATTAAATTATTAACAGATGAGTAAAAACCCCCCATCTTTCCGTACGCCCATCTATGCCATCCAATATAGTATACATGAACTCCCCAGATCTTGACCACATCCAATTCAGACATCTTCTCCCTTACATCTCCCCCTCCAACAAGCTCTTGTTCCACCGCTGAAAGAACTGGTCCTTCCACGTCGGCATGCAGAGCACCTTATCCGGCGGCCCAGCCCACTCGATGCGATCCTCGCTCTCGTCGTGGTCCTTGACAATGTCCGACACGAACCCCTTGAGCTCCTTGAGCCTCTTGCCGTTCTTGTTCGTGTACTCGAGATTGACGCTCGGCACGACGGCAATCTTGCCGTAGCCGCGATGCCACATGTCCTTGCAGAAGAGCACCGGCTCGCCCTGGAAGCACTCGCCCGCCTTGTGGTGGTTGGTGCGGAAGCGCAAGCCCTCGGCGATGGGCCTCGCGCTGAAGACGGTGGCGCCGTTCCAGCAGGCAAACGCCTGAAACGGCCGCATCTGCTCGAAGCGCGCCCTGGTGTCGGGCGCGTTCCAGAAGAGCTTGTGCGCCTCGCCCCATGAGAGTGGGGAAGGAGTGGAAGAAGTGGAGATGTTAGTAGCGTAAGTGCCCTCCTTGTCAGCTGGAGTAGTGAGGGCGGTAACTGCTGGAGGAGGGGGGGAGTAGGGGCAAGCCAGAAGAGGAGTCTAGGGAGGCGGCTGCGGCTGCAGCTGCGGCAGCTTTAGGCGATGAAGAAGCGGGAGCTGGAGGCGTTGACGCAGTGGGAGGAGGGCGCGGAGTATCCGTCGTAGTAGCTTCGGTACGTCAAGGAGCCGGGCGCGCGGACGCGGGACAGGTAGCAGCTTCCGCTGAGGGGGCTGCCGTGGCCGCTGCAGGACCGGCGGGAGGCGGGGTCGGAGCTCCGGGACCCGCAGCGGATGGAGAAGTTGAGCAGGCGGCACGCGAGGCGGCTCCCGTTGGCGTAGCGGTTCGAGCGGCGGGACGCGTTGTACGGGGAGCTCGGGTAGCGGCTGGTGCGAGAGGGGGAGCGGCTGCTGCGGTCGCAGTAGAAGGAGTTGCTGCACCGGCGGACGGGGCTCCTGTAGGAGCTCGAGCAGGACGTCGCCCGCGCCGAGCCGCGCCTGTACCGCACGCGGTACCTGACCTGAAAACGCCCTTTGCTGGGCTGAAAAATGCTGCAGACCTAGCGCGCGCCGTAGTTGCCGCTGAGGAAGAAGGTATAGGGGCGGTCGCCGTCG